CAGTTTGTTCCCCAGATTCTGGAGACAGGCCTGGGTCTCTGGTGCTGGCTCTTCAAGGAAGCCAGGATGGAGACAGCTGGCCTTGCCTGGAGAGCTGCGTGACAGGCAGCCTGGGGGCACTGGGAAGTGACCAGGGACTCCGGACACTCAGCCAGTGTCCACACCTCTAGGCAGAAGGTGTCTTCTCCTTACCCTAGGTGAGGTACAGGGGGCTTGGCTGTCACTGGCCCTGCCGAGTGGCCCTGATGTCACCTCATTTTACCCTACAGGACCTCCTTCCACCCTCCACATCCCTCCAGGTCTGTGCAGGCGGCGGGGAATGTTGGATGCCTCCATTTGCAAAAAAGGTCACTCACTGCTCCTAGCCCTTGATCTCCTCCCTCCTGTTTCTCAGTGGGAAGAGCTTTCCCTGGAGTCTGGTAGGGTGGGAACCAGGAGGGAGTCATACACTAAAGTGAGGGCGGCTGGTCTGACAGATACCCCCAGGACTCAGAGGTCTGAACCAGGTTCTCCTTCTGGCTAGTAACCTCTTCTTCCCACGGGGGCGGGAGGGGGCAGAGTCTGGCTCAGGTCTCCCCAGGGCTGGGCAAGCCTGGGATGGAGCAGGCTGGTACCTGGGCTGCAGCCCGGCTGGACACCATCCAGGGCTGGCCGCCCCGTGCCTTCCCTTCTGCCTCCCTCCTCATCCCTCACCCTCCTCCCAAAAGTCTCTGGATTTAACCCCCAGGGGCTGTCCCAAGCGGCTATTAAGAACCTTCAAGGAGCTTGTGAAATTGAGGCTCAACACTGAAGTAACAAATAGGAGCCGCTGGTTACTGAACACCTACTATATGTTAGGCACCGAGCTCTTTACGTGTATTTTCTTAGGAGCCAATTATAGTCCTACAAGGAAAGTATTATTGCAAGCATTTCACAGAAAAGGAAACTCAGCTTCAAAAAGCTGGAGTCAATTGCTCAAGTACACATGGCTGATGGGCGAAGGCAGGATTTCAGCTCGGATCCAGAGTAGCACTGTCCAGTAGATATATAATGCCAGCCATGTGTGGAACATAAGTCCAGCTGTGGCTCAGAATATGATGGGCAGAAACACCTGGCAGAGTCAGGCATCAAGCACAGACTACTCGTGTGGCCAAATGGCTGTGCAGGCACTGGAGTCAGAGGGCTGGGTTCCCAGACGCACCCCTGCGCTGTGTGGGAGGAGTTGCTAGCTGAGAGTCCTGGGACCCACCATGGTCACCTTAACTGATCAAGTCTCAGCCTCCATAGGCAGAGAATGGGGCCAGTATCTGCCTCACTGGTGGTCATATGGATTAAATGAGACAGGGAGGGTTAGTACTTAGTACACTGCTAACACAAATAGTAGCTACTATGTATTGAACACTTACTGTCAACCTACAAAATGGAGAAAACAATAGCTAATTTGTCTGGGGGACAATGAAATGCATATCGGCTGGGCGCGGTGGCTCACGCCTATAATCCCAGCACTTTGGGAGCCAAGGCAGGTAGACTACCTGAGGTTAGGAGTTTGAAACCAGCTGGCCAACGTGGTGAAACCCCGTCTCTACTAAAAATACAAAAATTAGCAGGGTGTGGTGGCAGGTGCCACCCAACCTGGCCAACATAGTGAAACTCTGTCTTTACTAAAAATACAAAGATTAGCACAGTGTGGTGGCAGGTGCCTGTAATCCCAGCTACATGGGAGGCTGAGGCAGGAGAATTGCTTGAACCTGGGAGACGGAGGTTGCAGTGAGCTGAGACCACCCCACTGCACTCCAGCCTGGGTGACAGAACAAGCCTCTGTCTCAGGGGGAAAAAAAAAAAAGAAAGAAAGAAAGAAATGCATATCAACATCTTTATGTCATAGGTAGAGCGCCTAAAGGCACATTACAAACCTAAGTTTCCTTCCAGGTAGGGCCACTCTATCTTAGAGCAACGAAAGCAGAGGAACACTTGTTATTGGAGTCTAGAGCTCTGGTTTCTCCTTGTAGAGAGCGCTGCAGCATCAACAAGACCTCGGCTGAATTTCGTCTTATTTTTGGAGACGAGTCCCACTCTGTCACCCAGGGTGGAGTGCAGTGGCGCGATGTCGACTCACTGCAACCTCCACCTTCCAGGTTCAAGCCATTCTCCTGCCTCAGTCTCCCAAGTAGCTGGGACTACAGGAGCCTGTCACCACGCCTGGCTAATTTTTGTATTTTAGTGGAGATGGGGTTTTACCATGTTGGTCAGGCTGATCGTGAACTCCTGACCTCAACTGATTTGCCCACCTCAGCCTCCCAAAGTGCTGGGATTACGGGCGTGAGCCACCGTGCCCAGCCTGAGTTTCTTATTTAATTCCCCACCCCACTTTCCCAGGGATCACTGAGATGGGACATCTGGGAAAGGGGAGAAGGACCTCATCTAGACATACGGAGTTCCTTGAGAAGGAAGCCCCCATTCACCCCCGCCCCTCTTTTTTTTTTTGGTAGAGACGAGGTCTCGCTGTGCTGCCCAGGCTGGTCTCAAACTCCTGGGCTCAAGCAATCCTCCTGCCTCAGCCTCCCGAAGTGCTGAGATTACAGGCACAAGGCACTCCGTCCAGCCAGGAAGCCCCCCTCTATCTCCAAGAGAATCATCTCCAGAATTACTGAGTTAAGAGGAGCCTGAAGGTAAGAACCAGGGCTACACTGTTTTGCCAGCAAAGATCCAAACACACAATCACATACCCTGTCCATTTGAAATCCAAACACCCAGCAGCTCGAACTCTGTGCTGCCCCTACCAGAGCTCCAACTTGGTTGGTGTAAAACGGCCTGCCCGCCCTGGCAAAGAGGTTGATGGTCCTCCAGCTAACTGTGCCCCACCACCCACCTTGCTCCCTGGGGTGCCTGCACTCTCTGCCTCTGGGATCAGGGTCAGGGGTGGCCGGAAACACCCGAAGCTGGGCACTTTCATTTACACACCTGTCATGTCACCAAATCTTCCCAATAACCCTGCGGGCAGTGCCTTTCACAGAGGTGGAGGCTGAGGGTTGCAGGGAAAAATGAACTCCCAGGATCCCAGAGCCAGCACACAGCAGAGCTGGGATTCAACATTGATCTGGCTGACCCCAAAGCCTGGACTTTTGGCTTTCTAGTTTTCAAATGGAAGCTGCTAGCAGGCAAGAAAGAGGAGTTGGTAGGTTCTATCTGGAATTCCAATCTCTGGGTGGGGCGGGATGAGCTAAATGAGGACAAAGGTCCCTGACTGTTGTTATATATTCATTCATTAATTCAAAAACTGTTTTTGAGAGCCTCCCTGCCGTGTGCCAAGGACTGTGCTGGGGATAGAAACACAAATAGGCCACAGTTGATGCCCCTGGGCTTACCATGTAGTGGAGAAAAAGGTCACAAACAGATGATTAAAATATTGTGTGTTCAGAGCGATAAAAGATGTGAGGACAAAGAGGAGGCGGAGGCCGAGGCGGGCAGATCACCTGAGCCCAGAAGTTCAAGACCAGCCTGGGCAACATGGCGAAACCCCAGCTCTACAAAGAATTTTAAAATTAGCTGGGCGTAGTGGTGCATGCCTGTAGTCCCAGCTACTAGGGAGAATGAGGTGGGAGGATTGCTTGAGCCCTGGAGGTCGAGGCTGCAGTGAGGCGAGGTTGCGACATCACTCCAGCCTGGGTGGAATCTGTCTCAAAAAAAAAAAATGAAGGAAAGGAAATGCTAACTCTGCCTACTGGATTAAGGACAGGCTCCCTGGAAAGGGACAGAACGGTCAGGGTATGAAGGCTCAGAGGCTAGAGATGAATTCGGACCCTGGGTGTGGTTTTGGGGATAGGGAGGTAGTGGTAAGAACAGGATGACAGATGGAGAAGGGCCATGGAACAGCATATCACTCTTTAAAAAACAAAACAAAACAAAAATTTAATAGAGACAGGATCTTGTCATGTTGCCCAGGCTGGTCTCGAACTCCTGGGCTCAGGCGATCCTCCCACTTTGGCCTCTCAAAGTGCTGGGATTACAGGTGTGAGCCACCACACCTGGCCACAACATAACATTCTTAACCCACAGTGACCATTGATCGGGCACTGACTGGGTGCCAGGCTTGGCCACAGTGGCACTTGCCCAACTAGGCAGAGGCTGACCCAGTGCTAGCTGCCCCATGATAGATGTGCAATGATCACTGTGAAATATGTATTCATTCCAATACCAACTGCAAAGGCTGGATGAGCCTGGACTCAGTGCCAGGCACTGAGCTACCTGCTTTACACACAGCCTCGTGCAATTCCGAGGTAGCTGCCATCACCCCCAACAACTTACACAAGAGGAAATGGAGGCTTACAGAGGTGAAGTAACTTGGCTCCGCACAGCCTGGCTAGTACAGCTGAGCTGGCTCAGCTCTGCGCAGCCGGCACTCTGAACCCAGACTCAAGGGTTTAGGCCTCATCCTGTGACTGGTGGTGAATCGGGGGAGGAGGGTTTTAAGCAGGGGAGCAGCAGGGCGGGTGCTGCTGCCCCTCTGTCCCCATGGGGGATGAGGGGAAGGCCATCTACAAAGCAAAGCCGGTGGGCAGAGCTGGAGAGCCACTTCTACCTCCTTAGGCCTAGACATCCCAGCGGGGACGGCCAGTGTTACAGGCACCCATCAGCCTCTGCCCTGAATGGTTCTGGACACGGCTGGTCTTCCCAGCCAGAGGCCACCCAGTTAACCACTCTCTGTGCCCACACTTTTCCACTGAGATCCTCACTTAGTAAGTGGAGGGCTAATGAAGATAAGGAAACAGCCCCACTTTGCACACAAATTCAGACTAAAACGAACTGGCAAACCTCCATTTGATGCTTTAGTAGTAAAGGGGTGTGTTTTAGAAAAAAGAACTCTTACAATGTCTGTTAACATTTTTTGCAATAACCGCACGGGCCATCTGTATGCTCAACACACAGGATTGCGGGGATTTTCTGCTAGAGGGACTCAATGGTGTTGACTAGGAGTCAGTTTAAGGATCTGGGATTCAAACGCCAGGCATGAAGGAGTGCGGTTCAGCATTTAAAACTTTAATAAGAGGCTCAGGTACTTCATGTCATTTCTACAATTCTAGAGAAGGCAGGCATCACATCGCCCAATGCCTCCATCTCACAGATGGGAGAACCAAAGCTCAGAAGTCCTGGGACTTGGCTGGTGATGGTGTCCCCAGGATTTGCTGGTGGCTCTTCTCTCATCTCTTGGCCTAACAAAGTACACACAAATGTAGGTGTCCCTCCAAAACATGCAGGAGTCTGATTCTGTGCTTACCCAGGAAGCTCAAAGCTGCTGCCTTTGGGCGCATGTGCTATGCCAGGCCTCCACATTAGCCTCCCAGGCCCTCTGGCACCCAGCAGCATAACCAAAAGGGCAAAGGGAGGAGCTGAATGAGACTGTAACTTGTGGGGGGTGGGGGTGGGTGAGTATTTGTGTGGGTTCCAAAGTCCAAAAAAAAAAAAAAAAGAATGTCAAATCGATCGATGGACTCAGCATAAAGTTCACACTGGATTTCTGCCTGGGACTGGAGATCATCAGCCCCAACTCCCTGGTGTCAACCCCCTTGCTACGGGTGCTCAGGTCCCTTCCCCCTCCCCTTGCCAATGCCAGGTTGGCAGGGGCAGGAAGTGGGAGCCTGGTGGCCCTGGCATTCCCAGCACCCACCTCTGGCTGGACAGGGCTTCTGGTGACCTCACTTCCACCAAACCAGTTGATCCTCTAGGGCTTTGCCTTCTCCCTTAATGCCAAACTGTACCCTTTCTCTGTCCAGAAGGATCCTCCTGGTCCCCATGGACACTCCCATCAGACACTGCCACCAGGGCGAGCTGGTGCAAACTGAAGGGGCCCTGGGAGGCTCACGCCCTGCCCTACACAGTACACCACTCCACTCTCTGGGGACAGGAGGCTCAGCACAACTCCTGTTTTGCCAGCTGCCCCTCCTGCAGCTGATCCAAACTGGGATCCTATGGGCAAACACCAAACATGGGCAAAAAGCAACCGGCCTGCTGGCTGTGTGGGCACCAGAGTGACCGTGGCAAGGCCAGGGCAAGACCACCGGCTCACCGTGAGCTCCGCTGGCGCACACAGGGCCGTGAGCCCCAGGAGCTCTCTCCCCTCCCCCAGCCATCTTTCTCTTCTTCTAAGGTCTTCCCCCTCCCCTCCCAGATACAGCTCTAGGCGCTTACTCCTCACATTCCTGAGAATCGTAAATCCTCTGAGGTGGCAGAACCACCACTCCGAGATGCCTTGGCTCCTCCTCCCCGCCAGGCAACCCCCACACCGCACTGAGATGGTGGGGCTTCCTCTCTCTTAGAAGTCACACAGGACTCCGGGAGGATGAAGTCCTGCAGGACTGAAGTTCAGGACACACACCGGCGAGCTGCGGGGAGGGCCTCCTCGCGCCAGGGCTCCGCACAGGAGTAATGCTATTTCTCTAGCTTTTGACGTAGGAGTGGCGGGGGAAGCTGGCACCTCTGGGAAGGAGAGCCCTTCCTCCCTGGCCCATCTGCGGACTGGGGTGAACGAGGAGAGGGCGCCAGGGGACGGGCAGGACTGGGGGATTCCGAGGAAGGGGAGCAGACACCCGCAGACCCGAGGGAAGAGGGGCTGGGTTCCCCTGCGCCGCCCTCCCAAAGGCCAGGGAACAAGAGGTGCAGGCGGCAAAGGCTCTCAGGCTCCCAGCACAGCCTGGGAAGGAGAGGAGGTCGCGGGACGCAGCCCCAGGCCTGCCTAGGATGTGCCAGAGCGCCTGGTAGGCGGGCGGAAGCGGTCTCCCCCTCGCAGCCCGAGTTTCAGAAAAACGACGGCCGGCGCGAGGCTGGACGGCCGGGGCACCTGGGTCTCTCTGGATCCCCCTCCCACTCCGTTCCAGCCTGCGCGGCCGGGGCCGAGCTTACCTGCTCTGGGTGGCTCTCGTCGGCCTCGCGAGGCTCATTTTCATTGCCAGCCCCCTGCGCCTCGGCGGCGGCTGGCGGCTCGGCCTGCCCGGGCGTTTCCTGGGCGCGCAGCAGCTCCTCTCGGACCTGGACGCCAAGCTTCTGCAGCTGCTCGTCCGTCTCGGGGTCGACCACCAGCAGGCGCACGGCGTTGAGTGCCGCGCGGATGCGGCTCACCACCTGCTGGTGGGTCTCCTTCTCCACATTTTCGCCGTTCACCTCCACCAGCCGGTCCCCCGCCAGCAGCCCCGCCTTCTCGGCCGGCGAGCCGGGCTCCACCAGCCGGATGTACTGGCCCAACTTGCCCTTCTCCCCGTGCAGGTGGAAGCCGTAGCCGTTCGGACCCTTCTCCAGGCAGCAGAGCCGGGGCAGGGGCGCCCCGGCCGCCGCGTCCGCGCTCATCTCGCCCTGCGACGGGTCAGCGGCGCGACTTGGGGTTCCGTTGGGGATGGGACGGGACGGCCCAGCCCTTCTTCCCGTCCAGCGAACCGGGAGCGCAGCGGGGAAGCCCTGAGCCGCCGGACGGGCGAAGCGAGCAGGTGTCCCAGGAACCGCCGGCCGCCGCGGGCCGAGAGGAGCCGAGAGAACTGCGCGGACCAATCCCCGCCCCGCGCGGCGTCTGAGCGTCCCAGAGCCCGCCCCAGCTCCTTACCCCGGGGGCGGGGCCGCGCTGAGGGTGGGGACCTCCGCGGGCCAATAGGGGGCTGCGGGCCGGGACGCTCCGTCCGGGTGAACGGCGCCGGCCAATGGGAACGCGCGGGGCGGGGCCTGTGCTCGGCACTGCGCCCCGCAGCGGGCGAAGACAGTGCGCTCAGGAAGTGGAAGTGTTTGTTACCGAGCGGTCGGCGCTAGGGTGGCAGGGGCGTGGCCCGCCGAGTTCCCGGTTCTGGGCGGTGGGGCCCACTGGCTCAGGCCTGGTTTCCCCTACCTGTGGCGGGGAGTGAGGAGAGCTGGCCCTCGGATAAAGGGCTCTAACTTTGTTTTTGTTTTTGAGACGGAGTCTCGCTCTGTCGCCCAGGCTAGAGTACGGTGGCGCGATCTCGGATCACTGCAACCTCCGCCTCCCGGGTTCAAGCGATTCTCCTGCCTCAGCCTCCCGAGTGGCTGGGATTACAGGCGCGCACCACCACGCCCGGCTAATTTTTGTATTTTTAGTAGAGACGGAATTTCGCCATGTTGGCCAGGATGGTTTCAAACTTCTGACTTCAGATGATCCCCCCTGGGATTACAGGCGTGAGCCACCGCACCTGGCCAACGTTTTAACAGCCTTTAGCCAAAGCCTGGGTGCAGCTCCAATTGAGAGGGAGAGGCTGTTGCCGTGGCAACCACTCCCGCGCTCAGGGCAGCGAGGGCCTAGCGGTCTCGAGAATTAAGACGGAGGGCCTCCTGGGAACCTACAGAGTTTGAATAACATTTTTCCGTTTGTGGGAACCCTAACCCTAATCCACTTTGTGCTGTCCCAGGACTTGCATAGAGGAGTGCGGGTTCTGATCCCTGCTGGGAAGATGAGGGCTCAGCGAAGGAGAGCCTGGGACCTCGAGGGGCAGCCCACTGAAGACAGGCCATCTAGGCCAATGGCGTGGGCTCTGGCGCAGCGTTTGACTAGGGAGGTGGGGTGGGGAGAGGCAAGACAGACTCAGGTAATCAACCTCTGGGTACACTCCACAGGGAAAGGAGCCTTGGCTTTTTTTTTTTCAACAGAGAAAAATGATTAGGACTGTAAAGCCTTCTAGCTCACTCTTGCCAAAGAGAGGCTGGTCACAGAGGCGGGGAGACAATCTCTTAGGAGGGTAGCTGGCCATCTGAGGACAGACACTGAGGAAGGAGGATGGAATGATTTTGGCAGTGAATGACAATTCCTTCAACAGGACCCCCCCTGCCACGCTCACTTCAAAGAAACAGTGGACAGGATGTGCTTTCCAAAATACTGCAGTTTAATTCTGAAAAACTCAAATGCAAGAGGCCCAGAGCTGTCTACGGGATTGGAGCTCCTGCAACCTGCCTTGGGCCCCAGAAGAGACTGGCAATGTCAACCTCCTCCCTGCTCTGCCTGGTTGAGGCCACGGAGAGCTTCCTCATTGGGCCCAAACTGGAGCCGCTGACTGCTCAGAGCAAGATTTCTGCCTTGAAAGCAAATGCTGTAGGCTCAGAAATGTGCAGCGCATACTTCTTCCTCCCCCCCATCCCCACTCAGGCCTGCAGAGCTGCAGTAAAGGTGCCTGCAGGTCATAACCTCATGTCTCCTGTCCACTTCCAATGGCAGGGGTCAGAGCTTTGGGAGACATGTGACCAAAGAGGCCAGATGAACTTGCTACCCCTTTCTCTACCCCCGACATACCCACATGACCTTGTTTTACTCACATTGCATTGGTTTAATTCGGAAATGGGTGACCTCCCACCCCCTAACCTGACGGAGTAGGTGGGGAGGTAAAGCAGTTTAGGCCCTGGTATCTATTTGAGAAGTTAAAGGAAAGGGCATGGGTGGTCAGGGAGGAGGCAGAGCTTGGGGTCAAAGGGATACACGTGGGGGGAGGTTTGCTTAATCTTGTCTCCCACCAGCTCCAGGAGCCAGGGATTTCTTTTTCACAACACATTCCAAACCTAGGAAAGGGATTTCTCCTTATCTGGCTCTTAACCCGGGAGAGCTAAACACTTCAGCTGCTTGAAGAAATTGCCTGTGGAGCTGCATGCCTGCCAAAGGATTGGGATAAGACACATCTCGGCTGGGCGTGGTGCCTCCTGCCTGTAATCCCAGTACTTTGGGAGGCCGAGGCCGGCAAGTCGCTTGAGCTCAGGAGTTTAAGACCAGCCTGGGTAACATGGCGAAACCCTGTGTCTACAAAAAATACAAAAATTAGCCAAGTGTGGTGGTGCACACCTGTAGTCCCAGCTACTTGGGGGGCTGAGGTGGGAGGATCACTTGAGCCCCAGGGGATGGAGGTTGCAGTAAGCGGAGATTGCACCACTGCACCCCAGCCTGGGCAACAGAGCGAGACTCCATCTCAAAAAAATAAAAAACAAAACTATTTTCCTGGTTCTGACCTGAGGTTTTTAGGTGCACAGGCAGGAAGGTAGCTAAGCCAGGGATTCCGTGGGGAGGGTCTCCCCCAGGATCTGAGGTCCAGAGAACAGGAGCCTGGAACCAATATTTCCAGGTGCCCCAATGTGCTTGTGTGCTGGAGAAAAGGGGCATGCCTCCAAGGGGGTGTTAGTAAGGCCAGAGGTAGCCAGCCCGACCCTACTCTCTGCCCCGTGTCCTCCACCTCCCATCTCCATACCTCTTATCTTCCCTGAGGCTTTGGTCTCCCTCACAGCACAAGGGCCCACTTATTTGGGGGGATGGGGTGGTGAAGATAAGCTCCTGGAGAGCAGGAGACAGTGAAGGCTGGGGTCAGCTCAGCCTCTCTCCAGCTGAACTGAGGGTGCGATGGAGTCATTACCTGCCCTCACCCCCAAAGTGCATCTGTGTCCCCTGGGGCTGAGCTGGAGCAACACCACCTTTGTTATGTTTAGGAGGGAGGGCCAGCCCCCCAAGTCCTAGAAAGCAAAAGGGTTACTAGGGCCCAGCCTCGGTTTTTTGGGCATCCAGGTGCCTTTTTTTTGGTATTAAATTATGTACTATTAAAATAAAAGCTAAGTGTTTTACCCTCCCCGTGGATGCGGGGAGACCGCAGGAACTCAAGTAGGAGCTGGAGTACAGCTCCCTAGTAGGAAGAGGCTGTGCACTGGGTCCTCCATCTTTCTCCCCGTTGGCTCAGCCGCTTGGAATAAGCCAGGCCTGGGGGACACGGCTGCATCCCCTGGGCCTCCAGAGCCTCCTCTCTGCCCCTTGGGATTCACATGAAGGAGCAGCAGCTGGAGCGCTTCTTCTGGGACTCCACATAGTCTCGGATCTGGAAGCTGGGCTCATTCGCCTGCTGCCCGGCCCGGTATTTCAGCTCCCTTGAAGAAGAGGCAATGGGCTGGGCTGGGGTGGGCTGGGGTGAGGAGCTGAGCAGTCCCCTCCCACCTCCCAGTGGCCCAGAGCAAATGGACCTCAGCCTGCAGAATGCAGGTGTGTCCAGGGGCTGGGCCAGGGGCCGGGCCCTACTGGATTCCTGGAGGGTGCCGCCCCGCCCCGCACACTTCCCTTCCCTGTCCAGCTCTCACTTGGCGATGGCCAGAAAGGCTAACTCCACATTCATGCCTGTCTTGGCGCTGGTCTCCAGGAAGGGAACGCCGTACTCCTGCCCGGGAAAGAGTGTCCTCAGGGCCAGCCTCGGGCTGCCCCCACCCTTCACCCTGTCCCACAGAAATCACTTACCCTGGCCAGGGTCTCTCCGTCTTCGGAACGGATCACTCTTTCGCTGCTCATATCCGCCTGTCAAGCCCAAAAGGGTCACTCTGGGGAAGGAGGCCTCCGCCCCAGCGGGCCCATATTTTGCCCCAGAAGCAGGCACTGCCTGCCCTCTGCTGGTGGTCCAAGGGACTGCAAGCAGGTGTGATTGGCCTGGGGCCAGGATTTTTGCCCAGTGTAGCTCCTAATCCTGGGATCTCACCTTTGGTAAAGGGTGTGATGACTCAGTCTTGGAAGGGGACAGCAGTTGGGGCTAACCCTTTGCAGTCTTAGCCCCTGACCTGGGACCCTGTTCACTCTGCTCTAATGGGGGCTGAGCACTGGGCACCCCTTGATTTCTCAGGCAACAGCTTGGATTTTTCCTTGAAAGGGGCACGTGGGATGGGCAGAAGCCTCCAGATACGTCTGACTCCTGAGCTGGAGGCTGCAGAGTCCTTTTCAGGAAGGATGCCTAGATAACTGTTCTTGGGTGGTTATGGGGCTGGCTAGGGCTGAGGAAGTGCAGGGCTGGGCTGACCCTGCCCCGGAGCCACTCACCTTGTTGCCTAGCAGCATGATCACCACGTCCCTCTGGGCATACTCATGAATCTCAGTGAGCCAGGCCTGTGGGAAAGGGTGT